CCCGGCCGCGAAGCAGGCAGCGCCGAAGATCCCCAAACCCTTCAGGGTCTACCTAAGGTATGGTTTAGGGTTTAGGGTTTAGGGTTTAGGGTTTAGGGTTTAGGGTTTAGGGTTTAGGGTTTAGGGTACCTATAGTCTCCATTGTAGTTCCTTTTTTTGGTTTAACCAATTCTATATTAAGGATCCTAAAAGGTAACCCCCCCAAAAAGGAACTACAATGGATACTATAGGTAGGGCTGAAAAGGTTTAGCTTCAGGATTGTGCCGTCTGCTTTCTTTGCATCTTAAAAGAAGTATTTGGGATTGACCCTAAACCCTAAACCCCGCTTTCATTGTCTGATTTGTTGCTTTAAGTAGGTGGGTCTCGGGTTTCAGGATGTTCTGTTGGCGTTTTTGGTGCTTTGTTGAGGGGGTTTCGGACACCTCCAATTTCAGAGATGTGGAGCTTGGGGGGGCTTTAAAGGGGTCTAGAGTCTAGGGGCTGTTTTGGGTTCAGGATTTTTGTTGGGTTGTGTAGGGTTCTTCAGGGCTTAGAGTGTCAGGTTTTTGAGATTTGCCTAAGGCTTTTAGGCTTTAGGGCTTGGTCTTTGGGGGTTCAGGATTTGCAGGGCTTCGGGTTTCAGACTAGGGGCGTTTGTTGTGACCATTCACCAGTAAGGAAACGGCTTTTAGTGTGCTCGGCAGGTTCAACCTCACCGTGGCTAGGACACGCACTGCATGCGGGAGAGAACTCACGTAGCATTAGCTAGGAAAGGAAACTTCGCTTTTTCAGGTTTGAGATTTAAGGTGTAAGGTTTAGGGATTGCTTCGGATTCGAAGCAATCGAGGATGTCGCTGGGTTTTAGAGTTTATAGAGTTCAGAAATTGAGGTATGCGTGCCTTGGGGTGTTGGGGTGGGGGTTTGAGGGCGTGGGTCTCATGCAAACGTAATGATGCTTTAGGGGGTATTTCGGGCCTGCGCGCCTTGGGGTTCAGGCAGCACGCAGACTTGACTGCATTACAACCTGCTATATCGCCGCTTCGTGGTGCTACCAAATGTCCAGCACTGTATTCTCTGTTTCTATAATACCAGTACTATTCGAAATAGGAAATAGTAATGAGGATAAGAAGAAGAATAAGAAGGAGAAGAAGAAGACTAGCTTTGCAGCTTTACGACGGAAGTTGCGACAGTGGAGATGAAAGGGGCCTCGGGCATAGCTAGAGGCAGACTTGGTGGAAGATGCCGAACCACGGGATCCTTTGCCCAAGCAGGACAATAATGTAGGGGCCTGAATAATTACCAGTAGTATTCTCGGGGTTCCTTATTATAGCTGTAGTATAGTATACCCCAATACCCTATTCTAAATATTAAGGCCCCTAATATAGAACCCTATTCTAGATCCATGATGGAACCCTTTAAGGAGCCCTTTAAAGGAATCCCAACGAAGCTTTGGATTTGTCAGCTCAAGCTTTGTCTGAATGGCTCGGGGTCAACCCGAACCTCAAGGCGGACCGCAAGGAAGAAAACAGGTCATATGGGGGTTTCCGAAAATAAGGGACCCTAATAATTATAGTACCTTAAATAGTAGGATCCTTATTACAAGGACCCCCAAAATAAGGTACCCCTTATTTTAGGACACTCCCATATGTAGGGGTTGCGACTCTCACTCTGCAGGCAAGGCTCGCTTTAAGTTCACATGTAGTGGTTTTTGTAGGGTCTAGGATGGCTTTTTAGCGCTTTTTAGGGCTTAAAAGTCTTAAGGTTTTGGGGCTTAGATGAAGTAGGAGAGGATGCTCTCCTTTGCAGCCTGGTCGCAAACGGCGAAAGTGTACATGATCAGGCACAACCTCTGCCAAGCGCGAAGCCAAAGGAAGTTCGACTTCCCCGAAACTCCGAAAAGCCCTTGTCTGACTGGAAAGGCTCCCTCACGGGGAGATGACTGGACCTTTCGATACAGACGGTTTACATCGATTCTGCGGCGCCGGCCACGCAAAACAGGCTTGTATTGGCTTTGTTGAAGGCAATGTTTTTCTTTGGCGTTTACAGTTGGGAAACGCTTAACGCTGGAGTTTTTGGACAAGCTAGTCACGCCTACGGCCTGGTGAAGCTCTTATGCGGGAAGTCGGAGACTCAGTAGACTGGAAGTAGCGCTGGCGAACATACGAAAGTACCTCGCCTGTCACACGAAACAGGGCTTAAGATGAGCAGATTGACAACCTACTGAAGCAACCCGCCTGTGACATGCTTCAGTTCTCAATCTTACGTTAGACCCAGTTTTTGTTTGTGACAGGCGTGGCATTTTCGGTATGTTCGCCGGTGCTACTTTCAA